AGAGATCACAAGTAGGCAGCGAGAGGGGGGAAAGCAGGCTCCCTGCTGAGCAGAGAGCCCGATGCGGGGCTCGATTCCAGGATCCTGGAATCGTGACCCAAGCTGAAGGCAGAGGCTTGAACCCACTGAGCCACCCAGGCACCCCATACTTTTGGCTTTTTATACAGAGGAACTAAGGATGTTTGAGTCTATTGGTAAGTATGTTTTGTGCCACACTGAAAAATTTGCTGTGAGGAGAGATACACTACTAGAAATAATGAAATGTATTTATAAATCTGCAAGTCCCCAGAATACTAGTGTAACAGTCCACTATGGCTTACGTCCCTGTTTTCATAAGAAAGTAAGGATTCTATGCAAGCTGGTGCAGCCACTCTGGAAACAGTATGGCATTTCCTCAAAAAGTTGAAAATGGAGCTCCCCTACAACCCAGGAATCGCACTGCTGGGTATTTACCTGAAAGATACAAATGTAGTGATCTGAAGGGGCAGGTGCACCTGAATGTTCATAGCAACAATGTCCACAATAGCGAAACCATGGAAAGAACCTAGATGTCCATCAACAGATAAATGGGTAAAGAAGATGTGGTGTATAAGATGTGGTGTATATATACAATGGAATACTATGCAGCCATCAAAAGAAATGAAATCTTGCCATTTGCGACGACGTGGATGGAACTAGAGGGTATTATGCTGAGCGAAATAAGTCAGTCAGAGAAAGACAATTACCATATGATCTCCCTGATACGAGGACTCTGTGAGAAACAAGGCAGAAGATCATAGGGGAAGGGAGAGAAAAATGAAACAATGAAACCAGAGAGGGAGACAAACCATAAGAGACTCTCAGTCTCAGGAAACAAACTGAGGGCTGCTGGAGGCGAGGGGATGTGAGGGATAGGGTAGGTGGGTGATGGACATTGGGGAGGCTATGTGCTGTGGTGAGTGCTGTGAATTGTGAACGACTTATGATTCACAGACCTGTACCCATGAAACAATTTGTTATATGTTAAGAAAAATAAAAAAAAATAAGGGTTCTAAGGGTTAAGAATTCTAATTAATATATGTAATTAAAACTATTTAGAAATAGTAAGGGTGAAAGAAAATAATTGTGTATGAAAAGTAAGGAAGGAAAATAGAATGTGTTTTTTAATTTTTATTTATGTTTAAATTTTTTGTAATTACTTGAATAATCTCTATACCCAACATGGGGACTTGAACTCATACCCCCAAGATCAAGGGTTGCATGCTCCACTGAGCCAGCCAACTTCCCCGTATAAATTTTAATATACCTTAGTTTATTGTTTAACACTATGCTGGAGGCAGGGGGTAGGTCCCCAGAACTTTGATTCTGGTGCTGTTCCTCTGTGGGCTCTTCAGGATATGCTTATTTTACAACTCTCCCAGAGCTGGGAGATGTGTTTCCTTGCTACAAATGGCATTCTGTAGTAAGTTCTGCCTATCTGTGTGACCTTTTGTGTATTGACTAATTTTACTTAGTAATCTGGAGTTGAAACCTCATTTCAATTCCTTTTTTAAAATTCTCAATTACCTTAATTCCAGACTCCTCCCGTGGAACATATGTACTTGCAGTTTTAATGAAGCCTTTCTTCTTGCATTTTGGAAACAGTTACGTTTCCTCAAAAATGACGGGGATAATTTGCTTTCTTATCCCATTTCCTTCCTCTGTCCCACCCTCCACATCAAAAAATAAAATATAATAAAAAAGGCAACAGGAAATCACCTTTCATCTCCCCAGCACCAGCTTTCTAGGTTTTGAACCAGAGTGTGTTTTTCTTGTTTTATCCGGAAAACCTGCACATATTTATGCTTCCTCTCTTATAAAAAAAACAAGGGGTTTCTCAGGCTCTTAAAACCAAACTCTGTAATACTTTCTGATGTAAGTGCTGACAGGAGCAGAGCTTCGTGGTTAGGGAAGATGCCTTGCGTTTGGGGTGGCAAAGCTTATGCATTTGCGAGGTGCTGGTGCCAAGGATCCAGCTGACTTTCAGCAGAGGGCAAAAGTCTAAAGAGGGACAGTGAAGGCTTTTCAGACAGTTATTTGTGGTTACTAACGATGTTCCTAATTGTTAGTGTGTTGTACTTACATACTAACAAGCATTTTCGAGGAAACATCTGTGGGACTAATTTTGGGGGGGGTGGTCTGGGGAGCACTTGTTGCTCTTTTAAAGCAGGGCACTCTATAGTCCTGATAGCAGGATGAGCTGAGGGTAGGCTTTATATGGATAGAGAGTTCTGATGCTGAGGGCGGGAGGGAGGTCAGGTTCAAAGTGTGTGGGAACAGGCAGTCACTCATGGAGGCTGGGAGGGATGCAGGTCCTCCAATGAACTGCTCGGAGAACCTGGGGCATACAGGGAGTTTTCAAGTGTGGTGGGAAACACAGACTTGGTTAGAAACTCAGCTTTGCTGATTTTTTAAGCCTGGGGACTCCAGACGGGTTACCCTGAGTCTGTTTTCAGATATGTGAGATGTAGCTAAAACTACTTTGCAAGTTTTTTGGCGAGGACAAACAATATAGAGAGATGGTAGAAGAACAGAACCGGTAGGAGATCTCTGTATATGCACACAAAATCCTACTTTGGTGGCGTCAGATCACATACAATCCCACTTTAGCTGCAGCTCTGTACAGACCCCAAAATCAGCTGTCTCCAACCCTGAACTCTTTGCAGCACTCTTTTCATCAATAAATATGGGGGCACCCTGCCCCACCTTGAAGGTTGTTATGAAGAATAAAGGAGGAACTATGTTCGTTTATTAGTTTCATTCAATGAAGTTGCCTTGTGTGTGTCAGGCACTGTGCTAGACAGAGGGGCTATGTGTGGCCAGAGGGTGGTCTGAGATGTGGCATAAGGGTTGGCCAGGGGCCAGATCTTGCAGTGCGTGGGAGACCATGTAACAGTTTCAGGTTTTGTTCTACAGGCAATGGGAGGTGTAGCACTGTGTCTGCTACAAAGTGAGCACCTGATACATGTTTCTTTCTGAGCATTCCCACCAGCATGTGCGGTTAGAAATTCAAGTTCAGCATATCTAAAATCAAACCCAGCCATCTTTGCTCTGACCCGTCCCTCTGAGTTGACTGTTTCTTTCCAAGGCACCTAGTTCTTCCTATCTCTAGATTAGACAATGCAGTTATCTTCCTTTGTTCTTTTCCTTTCTCCTGATTCTTAAAAATTTATTTGACAGAGATCACAAGTAGGCAGGGAGGCAGGCAGAGAGAGGAGGAAGCAGGATCCCCGCTGAGCCCAATGTGGGGCTCGATCCCAGGCCCCTGAGATCATGACCTGAGCTGAAGGCAGAGGCTTAACCCACTGAGCCACCCAGGCACCCCATCTGTCAGTTTTTTTAAATTGTCTCTCATGTTTGATCCTGAGCTAAGGACTTTATCTTGCTGAGCCTATTTCTTCCTCTGAAATGGGGGCCATAGCTTGTAAGAGGATTAAATGAGCTAATTGCATGTAAATTGTTTAGCATGTGTCTAGCGTGTAGCAAATCTAAAGATCATCTCCTATCACTCAGGGTTATGAACTGGAAATAAATACTAAAAGCAAGTTTTTCTGCTTGAAAAGAAGTGAGTTTGGTCTACCTCATCAGATTCATCTTTAAGCTCAGATTAGAGGCTTATTTATTCTGAACTCCATTCTGTTAACAGGATAAGCCCCAGGATTCTTAAAAAGTAGATATTTAAGTTCCTTCCCTACCTCCCAGCTTTTTCACCTCCTACCTTAGGACCAAACTAAAACATTGAGTATTACATAGATAGTCCTCCTGGTCTATCACTGGTGTTTGCTATTGCCACTCCCTCTGCCTGGGAAGGCCTAGGTCTTTCCATAAATCTCTCTTCTATTAGTTATATATTCTTCTATTTGGCAAGTATTCAGTGCCTACTGTGTCCTGGTACTAAGTACTTGGAATACATTGACTAAGACAATGCCCCTGCCCACAAACCCTATGCAGAGGCAGGCCAGACAGACAAAGACAATGTAACATATGAACAATTTTTAATATATAAAACAAACATGTACTACATGTCAAGTATTGGTGAAGACAACATATGTGCACATCCCTTCTATCAGAGTACGAACTCAAAGGCTGGAACCAGGTCTTAATGCAAAATCTTTGTATCCTCTTATAGTATCTTATATTTGGAGGTACTTGATATTTTGGAATAAATAGTATTCTGGAGATTTTTTTTATACTATCAAATACTAAATTGCTAAAGAGTAACAGGACTGCATTTAAATTCAACAAAATCAGGTCATCTGTGGCTGCCTGTGCTCCATTCTGCTGTTGAGAACTATAAAGGTTAAAGAAAAGATAATGTTGTCTTCTACATTCAGGTGTTAGTTTTTTCTCACCAAACATGCCTATTTTTATAATGGTCTGGTGTTCAAAGTACAAGCTCAGAGTTGGGAGTCTTTTTTTTAAGATTTTATTTACTTATTTGAGAGTGCAAGAGAGAGGGAGAACATGAACGGGGTTGGGGGGGCAGAGGAAAGAGGGAGCAGCAGACTCCCCAGTGAGCAGAAAGCCCGATGTGGGACTCGATCCCAGATCATGGTATGAGCCCAAGGCAGACGCTTCACTGTCTGAGCTGCCCAGGCATCCCTGAGTTACTCTGCAAATCCCTTAGCCTTAGTTACACAAAGGCAAAATGGGGCAGCTAAGAGTACATATAGGGTTATCAGTGAGAATTACATGAGTTCGTGGTATCTAACAGGTACTTAATGATAATAGCTATTATGTTGTTATGGGGTGGGTATAGGCTTAATTGGTTTTCAGTATCCATGGACACTTGTGTGAGACTGTCTGTAGTTCAGGAAGCTTCTCAGAGAGAAGAGATTGACTTGGAGCAGAGATTTAAAAAAAATTATAATTTGGCAATGCAAAAAAATGAACATTTGCTAAGAATTTAAACAATCCAGAAAAGAGCCAAGCTTTCCTCTGACCAGATTTATTGAATGTAAGAAAATTCTATGTACAGAGTGGGACCTGCTGCTTCAAAACATGATCCTTTCTTACTAATATTTGGATAAGTCAGTCCATTGAGTGTCCAAAAGAAGCTTACTCTAAAATTAAGAGAAAAGCGCCCAATGCACACGAAATAAATGGCCTGACTATTGGGACTGGTGTAGTTGTCTAAGATAATTTACACAGGCGGGATCGAGCCCCGACGACAGGCTGCTGGAGAACCACCATGAGCCGTCAGGAGGCCATCTTGTGCACCGCCACCGTGATGCCGTCGTGTTTCTGGATCATGATGTTCCTGAAAGGCAAAGATATTCCATAAAATGTTACAAGTGGGAGTCTGCTGAAGATTAAAGACACCGTTTGGTTTAGGATACAACTAAAAAAATATTATTTATCATTTCTTTAAGGTACGAAAGCAATATATGAATATACGAAAACATTTGGGAAATACAGAAAAGTATAAAATACACAAATGAATCTATAATCCTACAGCTCAGAGACAGGCACTACTGTGTTTTGTTAGCTGCGTGTACACCATCGTGCATTTGTCTGCTCTTTTTACAAAACTGATCACACTGTGCAGTTCTGTACTCTGCTCTCATCGCTTACTATTACTCCGAGGATGCTCACCTGGAACAGCTTTAGTATTTCTATTACTACGCAAGTGGCTTCTGTTCCTTGATTGGTCTTTGCCTACGCTATTTATTACTTTCTTTTTCTTGACAGTCAGGACAATTCTTACTCTTCATTTAAATGTCACTGTGGTCTGAAAGCACGTTAAGGTTCGGAGATCAGTCTATTTTGTGGTCCAGAGTGAAGAGCCTCCCTCCAAGTTCTTTGAATGCAAATCGCTAATAACACAGGGCAGGCCCCACTCAACCTTCCCAGTGACTTTTCTGATTAAAAAGGAAAGAATCTGTCAACATGTACTCACCCACTATCTGATTCTAGACACACCACAGGGATATCAGTGGGGTCTGAGGTCAGCTTAGCTGCTTGCTGGGCTAGAACGGATATCACCCCGGCATGCTCATCTGACAGGGTCCCACGGCCTGGAAGACAGAGAGGGAATCATGTCCATGAGTACACAGCTATAGTAGAATCTCTCACTGATTTATTCACAAAAGGAAGGCTCAGTTCTTGGTCTTTTAGGTTAGGTACCGACATGAAATGATTTTGTCCTGATATTCAGCTGGTTACAGCAACAAGAAAGCCAGACAACAGTTCTTAAATCAATAAAGCGCCAGGAGACTCTCAATTTCCAATCACTCTCATCACCATCTCTGAACACCTTCTCGCACCTATAAGGAAGCTATAATTCAAGTCGTTCTGAAAGCCATAAATGCCTTTTACAGGAAGCTTCGTGAAACCAACAAGACACTCAAAGGTGAAGTTGACAAAAAGCAGTAAGGGCAAGAGACTTGTTGAAACGAATACTTTCCTCATGGGGAATCTAATTTTCGTTTAGCGAGCTCAACCTCAAAGGATACAAAAGTCTTTACTCAGCAGTTCAGTTTCAAGGTCACCTTGGTGGACACACACGTGAATGTTCTGTGCGCAGTTATTTCGACTTGAATAAGCTGGCTGTTTTCAGATACAAACTTAACTGGCTTTTTGTTAAAATTTGTTTTCTCCTGTAGATAATCTTGGGTGCCCGATACAAAAGGTAATTATTAAGTTTACACTTCCACATACAAAGGCAGCACAAGCTTGCCTGCCTGGAACTACAGCGGAAAACAGACACACCAGTGTGGCAGAGCCGGCGGATTTCCTACGGTTACAGAAAACGCTAACTGGACAGATGGTGCAGTCTTTTGGGTCCTGAAGGTTTCTTGGAGGAACTAATTTCATTTTAGATTTCCACACCTGAACTGCAGGCTTTCCATCAACCAGCACCTCAAGTAAACCAGATTTGTATAAAATCTGAGTGACACAGATTACCTCTAGTTACCCTTTTTTCTCCCAACCAGATTTGTATAAAATCTGAGTGACACAGATTACCTCTAGTTACCCTCCCAGCAGAAATTCAGAGCTTTAAAAATTCCTGCAGTAAAGAGGAGTAAGGAGGGAGGAGTCCTTGGCTTACGAGTTGGGACATGAATTAGCTGAACACTTTAGTTACTTACCTTTCAGGATTTATCTCCTCATCTGTAACTCTTACCATTTATTGAGCATGATGTCTGGGTTCTCTGTTGAATGTTTCACACACATTATATAATCTTACAACACTGAAACTAAGAGGTTTTGGAGCCAGACTGAAATCCTAGCTCAACCCTAGCTCTGTGACCTGGGGCGAGTTACTCAACCTCAATTTCTTCCTCTGCCTCACAGGGCTGCTACAAGGATTAAATGACTTAGTTTGGGGAAAGCACTTAGAATGGTGCCTGGCACATAGCAGGTGCTCAGTAAATGCAATTCTTTAATTACTGCCATTATTAAACCACAAGCCAGTACAGAGATTCTGGGTTGGCATAGCCTTGGCAGCTCATGTCCTTTCCACCGATGTCAGCCAACTGCCCTAGACCTTTGCTGCCCAATGCCCCCTCACTGGCCAAGGCCTGCCAGCTCAGCACCATCCTGTGCCCCACAGAGGCCCAGATGAGAGCTGCGCCTGTGCAGGCGGCCTCAGTGCTCATGTAGGGTCCGGGCAGTTCTATAGACCCGCTGCCAGTATCCTGATGTGCCTCCTCTGACGTGAGAGGGAATCAAAGACCATGTTCTTTATAAAAACAAACAAACCAAAGTCTTTAAACTCAATGAAAAAAATCGACCCAGAAAAGCTCTAGGTAAATTCCCATTTGATGAAAAGAACAAATGGTTTAGACTGTGTGGACCAAGTGGAGATTATCGTGGCCATGGAGGGGGACTTTGGGTTCACATTCTTGATACAGATGTGGAGAAGTTATTGTGCCCACAAGAAATTGTATATTACACTGCAGATAAGAAGGATGTACTTGAATAAAATGTCAGACCCCTTTCTCCACTTAGAGAAGACAAGGAAGATACTGGTGAGTGTCTGGAAGTAACATTATCACTGACTTTGACAGAGTAATTCTGTTTAGACTTGTACTTAAACTAAGAGTTTTTACCTTTGAAAAGAAGTCTATACAACCAACCAATTAGCCAACCAACAAAAACAACCCAGCAGAGAAACTGAGGCTCAGAATTTTTGGTCCAAGGTCACACTATTAGCAATAGAAGAGCAGGGGGCTGACCCCATGCATTCAACTCTGAAGCTCTCATTTTTACCGCCTACTCTCTTACTCAGATGTATTCAGACTACAAAACAGCACTGTCCATCTTCCTGGGTTATTGTGAAAATCAGAGATAAAACACACAAAACTCTAGCAGTCAGCACCCATTCTCAACCAATGGTACCTGATGTCATTATCTGAGGTCCTTGCTAGATCCAATTTAAAATAATTCAAATACTATTTTAGTAGAAACAATTTCTAGTGCAAGAACTGCAAGGAACACTTCTACCTTCATAAATACCAACTGAAAAGTTTCAATTTTCTAATCCCGTTTGGAGATAAACTCTACTCTCACCAAAGAACCCAGAAAGCGGCAGGATAACAGGAAGTACAAAAAGTACAGCACACTAGGCTCCTAGTCGATATCAAATGCTATGCAATCCACCAGAGTAGATGGTGACATACTTACAGCCCAGATTAAGTCCTTGTGAATCTGTGCACAGGACTCCAACAATGGATGGATTCTTCATTCTAATTCCAGGAGCACCAGAGGAATGAAGCAGATGATGTCAGGAAATGAATTTAAATAATTATCACACACACCTACAGGTTTTTCTATGTACCAGGCACTCTTGCGCTTTAAACCACTGCTTTTTTATCACGCCGAGAAAAATTAAGCCACAATGAACTAATTTAAATTTAATAGTTAAATCAATGTACGTGTGATGGGAGAAAAGATTATGTCAGGTACTGCTGAGCTTCTGAGGGCTGCAAACATGACAATTTATCAGTATTTTGTCGCCGTTGTTCAAAATGACGAAAAAACACTGGTTGCCTCCAGGAGGGGAAGTGGGAGAAACTGAGGGGCGCTGGTGGGAGGGAGCTGTTTCGCGGTGCGCCTTCTTGTACTTTCAATTTTACACCTTACGTGGATATTACTTGTTCGAAAATTTGACAGGTCTTTCGTTTCCTCAAGCACCAAGTAACTGGTTACACACGCGAGGAGAGACTTGTGTTTATGTTCACGTTGCAGGGTTCGCTTTGCACACCTGGTACAACCTTCCCCCAAATGAACCCATTTCCTAAAACTACTGAGGAATGACCCTGCCATACAGACAACTGCAACACGACTGGCAGTTTTGGCCTTGGGCTGCGGAGACTAGCTCCGGGAGGGAGGGTGCGGAGCCCCGGCGGGATTACGGGATTTTAATTCCGGGTCACCCCCTCCACCCCGCGGCCGCGGGACAGGGCTCGCCGCGTCACCCTCTCCCCTACCCCCAGGCCCGCGGCGTAGTCGCGCGGCGTCCCGGACACGCCCGGCCGGCAATCTCAGCGCGCGCCTCGTGTCCCGCTCAAGTCCCCCACGCCGCGCTACTCACGTATCCTCCAAGTGCTGCTCCAAGGTGGCCTCCATCCCGCCCGCCCGGCCGGGGATCCCGCAGCTCGAACCTCCTGCTCCGCCCCAGGCCCGGGGCGCGTCTCGCTCACGTGACCCGGGCTGGGGCGCAGCGGGGGACGGCGCCTCCGAAGGGACAAACTTCGCCGAGCGAATTCCGCGCTGTGTTTGGAAAAGTTGGTTCCGCCTCCGCCGCCCAGATCCGCAACCGGGTAGCGCGAGTAATTCTCGCACGGGAAGAGGTGTGCGGCCGGACTGTAGGGCCTCGGTTCCGGCCTGGCACTGTGTCTCGGCGATGTCGACCTTTGCATTCCCGTTCAACCGACTCCGAAACCTTCAGGCCAGATCTTGTTTGCGTTTTGCGATAACCGGGCGGGTCAGACAGGGTGAGATCCTGGCGGTGCGGCGGGGGCAGAGAGAGACGCAAGACCCTGGTGCGGGGCTGCACAGGCGTGTAGGGGAGGTGACGTGCGCGCGGGGGCTAGAAGACCACCTGCAACTCGGTGAAAACCCCAAGCTAGGTATTGGGAAGACATTGGTTCTTCCTTTGGCGAGGGCGCAGGAAAAGTCCGGGAAAGAAGTTGTCACTTGTAAAGAAGACTGGGTAGGACTACTTAAAAATAACTTAAAGAGCATTTGTGAAATAAGGAAAGCCACCCATAGTCTGTCCAGAGAGGACTTAAAATCCCGTGGAGAGGGGCGCCTGGGTGGCTCAGTGGGTTGTCAGACTTATTCTTGGGTCTTAATCTTGGGGTCCTGGGATGGAGCCTGATCCTCGTGCTGTGCTCCCCGCTCACTGGGGAGTCGGCTTGTCTCTGTTTCTGTCCCTCTCCCTCTGCCCGAACCTTGCTCATGCTTTCTCTCAAATAAATTAATAAAATCTTAAAAAAAAAAAATCCCTTGGAGAATTTTCAGTGTTTTTATTCATTTTTTTTCTTTTTTAGGCAAAATTGACACATAATGGACATGCAGGTCTGTAGCTGGCCTTTTCCACAAAATTTAGCATAAATGCCTTTTCAGGTCATTAAATATTCATTTGCATCCATTGTCGTAGTTACAAAATATTCCATAATATAGTTGTACCATAAATGATTTAACTAATCCCTTATTAATACCTGGTTGTCGGTTTTAGGGGGTCAGGTATTACAAATGCGGGGTAAGTATCTTTGTAGGTAAATATTTGTCCATGATAATTATTTTTTTAAATAATAATTTATGATAAGTTCTTAGAATGGAATTACCGGGTCCAAAGTTAATAATTTATGATAAGTTATTAGAATGGAATTACTGGGTGTCTGGCTGTGATAGTGAAACTTGCACCTTCCTTAAAATTGTAGTCTTGAATGTTGTAATTCAGGAGTTTCGGACTTCTGCCTAGAAAAATTATTCATGTTAACATAGTATGGGCCATTTAAATCTTAGAGGAATCAGCTTAAAACTACCTTTAAAAGATAGCATTAATAACTAAATAAAATCTAAAAAAAAAAAAAAAAAAAGATAACATTAAAAAAGGCTAAGAAGCCAGTTGGCTTCCCTCCGAAGTTCTGCAGGCGGAGACTTGGCTCTGCGCGAGCGCCCCCTATGGTCCCATGCATTTGTAACCTCCCGGGCAGTGCCGTCCCATAGAGCTCTAACTTGAGCCACATTTGTGATTGTGAATGGCCTGGCCACACTAAAAGTAAAACAGGTGAAATTAATTTTAATAGTATATTTTATCCAAATACTATGTCCAAAATGTTGTCATTTCAACATGTAATCAAGTTGAAAATACTAATGAGATATATTACATTTTCTCCCCCTGTACAACGTCTTCAAATTCCAGTGTATATTTTTCACAGCACATTTCAGTTCACACTGGCCACGTTTCAAGTGTTCAATAGCCACGTGTGGCTACAGGTTACCATATAGGCTAATGCAGCTCCCAGGTATCTCTGATTATCTCAAAGCCAGATTGATGATTACAGTGTTCTCAGAAAAGCTGGTGATTGCTTCTCAGGCTATAGGAAAGGCCTCTCAAGGGCAAATGAGCAAGCAGGAAGAGGGTGACCGATGGCCCACAGGTCCTTGCCACACCCGGGGTGGGAGGGTGGATTATACCACACTACCCTCGTTCTCTGCCCTGTTGCTGTTGGCCCCTGCAAGGTGGGCAGAAGGAGCGGGTAGCTCTTATAGGCTGGAGAGGTGCAGGGGGTTGGTGAGAGGGTTGGAGGTGTGCCTGACCCCACGCTGTTTTCTACTTTCACCAGTTGGTGGGGATATTTAACAATTCTTTTTCTCAGTTTTGAATGCTGTTATCCATTCCTGGGGTGACAGACGAAGTCCCATATTCAAGTACATGCCTCGTTGCATTGTAATTCTTTATATGTTTGCTTTTCAAAGATAGGAAAAGTATGTCCTCCATTACTGGACGCTGAGCATTGTGGAGCACAGTAAGGATTCAATATTTATCGAAGAATCTTGATGGGTCTTTTGGGAAAGGAACTCTGTGTCCTGTTAAGAACCTTTAAGTCATGGGGCACTTGAATGACTCAGTTGGAGGAGTGTGTGACTTTTGATCTTGGGGTTGTGAGTTTGAGACCCTCGTTGCGTGTAGAGATTACTAAAAAAGAGAGAGAGAGAGAGAGAAAGAAAAGAAAAACCTTTAAGTCCTAAACTTCTGCCATATTTATCCTCTTCTTTCTCCTCTCCTCCATAAAAAAGCTCTTGGAAAATGGAAGTCCCAGGAGGGTCCAGCAGAGAATGGCCATGCCAGCATGTCCTGAGTGGGAAGTTGGAGGTGAGAAGCACAGTTGGGGGAACCAGACCTTCTAGGTCCTCTCATTGCTGTTGGCCCCAAAGACCCTAGCCCCTCTTCCTTGACCTCTCAGGAGCAGAGTCTTCCTGGTGGGGGCATTGAAGAAGCACAGCTCGGGTACACAGTCTGGTTATCCCTTGTGTGCACACGGTCTGGTACCCAGGGCCAGCCCTGTTGGTCACCCCGTGAAGTGTTGAATGTCCCAGGCCAGCCATAGAATGAGCCTGAAACCTGGGTGGGGAATGGCTCCGAGCCTGCCACTAGGGGGCACCACCACCATGGAAAACCCCGCTCAGGCTGGAGGAAAGGGACCCACAGATCTACTGAGTGGGCACACTTGGTTAGGATGGCATTAGGAGTGACACAGAGATAGAATTGAATCCTGGCTTGACCACCGCCTACCTGTGTGACCTCTGAGCTTCAGGGGCTCCTCTGTGGTCTGACAGTACCCTTACCTGCCCCATAAGGTTATGGGGATGATTATATGAGATGCTTTACGTCAGAGGGGCTGGTGCATTGTGGGAGTCAGTAAGTCAGCTCTGCTAAGTCTGAGAAAGAAGCCCTGTTTGTTTCCTCACACCGTTTCCAGTCTAGGTGAGGACACCCATGAGAAAATCGGAAACAGTTCAATGAAGGTCGGAGCCAAACGCTGAGGCATACCTCCAGCGGCCTAGTTCCTGGGGGAGGGAGGTCGCAGGGCTGGATTTACACAGCTGCTCTACAGAGCCCTGTTAAATGCCCTAATCGAATATGGCTTATCACACTTTTGTACGGTATAAAAATTATAAAACACAGTGAGAGGAAAAATCACCTGAAATTCTAGTGCTAATCCTAATGACACGAGTGTGAATGAACTAAATAGAATGCAACAGGCTTTGGGTAAGGTGGAGCTGGGGAAAAGCATGTCCCCTTGGGTTACCAGAGTGTTGCCGTCAAAGTGTCTCACTCCATGGGAGCCATTAGGTAAGACGCTGGGTCCCTGCCTTCTGACAGTGGACGCCACCGGAGAGCAGAGAGCGGAGTCCCAGATCCAAAGCCTAACTGACTGCCACTACGAAGAGCAGTAATACCATTTAAAGTTCATGTACATGAGTGACAACTGTGTTCTGGGCAATTCGCAGGCCTTATTAGTCCTCATAGCCTTTTTTGGTTTTTGGTTTTGGTTTAGTTTTTTTTTTTTGGCAGAATATTTATGTTCTGTATTTTTAAAAGTTTGTTTTTTTTTTAATTCCAGTATAGTTCACATACAGTGTAATATCAGTTTCAGGGGTACAATACAGTGATTCCACACTTCTGTACGGCACCCGTGCTTATCTCAGATGTGCCCTCCTCAGTCCCCATCACCTGTTTCACCCACCCACCTCCCCTTTGGGAACCATCAGTTTGTTCTCTAAGTTAAGTCTGTTTCTTGGTTTCTCTCCCTCTCTCATTTTTTTCCCCTTTGATTGTTATGTTTCTTAAATTCCACATATGAAAGAAATCATATGGTACTTGTCTTTCTCTGACTTATCTTGTTTAGCATAATACTCTTTGGATCCATCCACACCCTTGCAAATGGCAAGATTTCTTTTTTTTTTTCTTTTTTTTTCTTTAAAGATTTTATTTATTTATTTGACAGACAGAGAATCACAAGTAGGCAGAGAGGCAGGCAGAGAGAGAGGAGGAAGCAGGTCCCTGTGAGCAGAGAGCCCGACGCGGGGCTCGATCCCAGGACCCTGGGATCATGACCTGAGCCGAAGGCAGAGGCTTTAATGCACTGAGCCACCCAGGCACCCCGGCAAGATTTCTTTCTTTTCTTGGCTGAGCGATATTCCATCGTACAGTCCATGAAGTAGCTCCCATCACTGTCTCCATTTTACAGTTAAAAACCCCCTGAGGCTCAGAAGGTCAGTGCTTGGTCAGGATCACCCTAGTTGTAGGTAGTAGAACCTTACCGTGGACTTCCCTATAATGTGGCCTTGACTTCTCTCACTTCCTCAGCAGCACAATCCTGGAGAGGTGAGAGGGCTTTGGAGGCCCATCCAGATCTCCTGCTCTCTGGAGAAGAAATCTGAGGCTCAGAGAGGGCAAGTGGCTAATTTAGAACTTGAACCTTCCACCAGGGCTCTAACTATATTGTGGTGCTGGAGGCTGTTTTAGACCTTTTCTTGAACCATCTTCAGAGACATTCATTGTTACAGGTTGAATTGTGTCTCCCTAAAATTCATGTATTAAAATCCTCACTCTGAATGTGACTTTATTGGAAATAATCCTTCGAATCAGGTCATTACAGGGGGCCCTAATCCCATATGACAGGTGTCCTTAGAAAGAGGGGATTTGG